ATGGTTTCGTTCAGTGAGAATGTGTAGATTCGTTACTTTACTGATTGGCAGCAGATATTTCAAGCTTTTGCTCAGTTGTCTGAAATTTGAAACGTTTTTTGTGCTAATCATAACAATCACATGGTCATTTTTACCGTATTGACGTGAATGTTCAAACAGAGTTAAAACTGAATCTAAAACATTTATGCTCGGCTTGACCACACCTTCTACGATAAAATCTCTTTGTGATAGAATGGAATATACTAAAAAAGATGCATGTCTTGCAAACTCATCGCCGAAGATCAGCACTTTAGATTTATCACTACCTCCATGTCGTTGTTCTAAAGATATGGGTTCACTGATATTCGTTGTCATACTGTCACTGGAAATAATCCCACTACTTGGATGAGCATCGGTAGTTAAGATGTCATCTAGAGTCTTAGACAAGCTTGATGTCGATGTATTGTGATTTTCTTCGTTCTGTGTGTTGGCGCCAGTTTGTGGCCTCACATACAATTCCACACTTCCTGATGAGTTGCTTACTTCTGGTTGGACTGTACGAGAGATTTGCGTATTAATTGCTCGACCTTCATATTTAGATATGTCTCCTTTTAATGAATACGATGTGTCTAATTGTAAATTTGTGTCATCAGTCTGTGATACAGTTGATGTGACTTTTTGATGTGTCTGAGTAGAATTATCCATAACTATACTTTTGCGTACAACTTTTTCTATTACGCTTTTCAGGTAATCAATAGTGTCTTGCCTAGCTTCTAGTTCTCTGGCAAGCTTATCATTTTTCTTGTTCAGCTCAATTAAGGTGTTGTTGAGCTCCTCAATTTTCGTTTCCTTCTGTGCCAACCTGTTCCTTATATCCAACACAATGCTTTCCTGGGTTTTAGTGTTTTCGTCAATTACAGGATGTTAACGCCCAATGAGTAATCAAAGGTCCCGTTTTCGTGGCTCCACGTTATTTTCATAATCATCCCCGCAAATCAGTTTGATCCCGGTAGTTCTTGATCTACGACCATGATAAGATATTTAACGGTTATTGAGCCGCATCTATACGTTGGACTAACTTACGCCAACGCAAATATCTAAAGAATAGACAATGGCCGATTGTGATGAGCATTTGATGTCTTCTCTGCACACTCGCTGTGGAAACCAATAATAATGCTTATTGGTCTAGTCCTAGTCTCAATGTATCGGTGTACGTTAGCTTGACGGGTAGACAAGAGCTATACAACTTATCTGCACAGGACATTACACCTTTTTTGTGCAGCTCAGGGATTTTTTGCGTTTCTAATTATTTATAATGGAAGTACGCGTGTGTACATTTCAGAGTTGAGTTAATTGAACAGAACCATAATAATAAAAAAATTGTCGTTCTATCAAAATCGAAATTACACAAAATTGATGCATTATCCGATAAATGGTTTGTCCATAATTTCTAGTCTCCAATGAAATATTTTTATGCGGGAAAAATATTTAACTTCAATTCTAAAATGTACACAGACTTACCTCACTTATCCAGTAAATCGACAAGCAACTGAAGAGAAATTACTCCACTTACTTGAACGCATAGACTTCGAAAATTAGTTCATTCGAAAAAGTCGGTGAACGCCAAACTGACAAGCGATCTCAGGGTTCAAAATTCAACTGGACTATGGACCATGGATCGTCTGTGTCGTAAACGGGTGGATAGCAGGGCTGCCAGGGGTGGCGATTTTTTGCCAAAGTAGAGATTTGACAACTTCAAATGGCCACTAAAATAGATAGCTTGGCGATTGGCTACTTTAGTGGTATTCCTGACGCCACTTAATTTGTAATCTATTTTTGCCGATATAGTAATAATAATAATAAATCGTGTTTATTTAGCATAATGCTACTCTGCCACTTAACCCCCCCCCAAAAAAAAAAAAGAAAAACCGAAAATACAATACAAAAAATATAAATACATTTGATAGGTTCCAAGTTTATAAATGCAGTTGTATAAAAATATGTCGTATATAACATATATAAGTGAAGTTTATTCAATATTTCATGAGTTAAAAGAATAAAATTGTACCTAACAGTTATACAACCTCGGTTGGCCGCGTGGGTCAGAGTGTCGTGCTACTGATCAGCCGGCCGGCCGGGCCGCGAGTTCGAATCTCGCCTTCGCCATGGATATTGTGTGTTTGTTTTAGGCAGCAGCGGTGGCCGCAGTTGTAGACTCTTCGGTCTCCTGATCAGTCGCCGTGCGCTGTGCGGGTTCGAGTCCCGTCCCAGGAGAAATTCTTCTCTTGGCTATGGATGTTGTGATTGTCCGTAGGTGGTAGATGGTCTCTGACTGTCGAACGCGGAGGTACCACCCGGCGGTTCTCGTAGGCGGAGCCAGAATGTGTGCATGTTGCATGCACACGTGTTCCCTCGCCAGAGTCCGTGTGGCGTCCCCCCTTTCCCATGTATCCCCCTATAGCCCCACGGTACCCAATGGGTGCTTAGGCCTTAGGCCTTCGTGGTAGTTGGAGTAAAAAAAAACAAAGGAATGCTATATTGGAAATATTTTTGTGTGAGGTGACAGATGAATTTTATCACTAATTCATATACTTCTATGTATTCAAAATAAATTTATTCATATGCCTTTTAAATTCATCATACGATAGCAATTTTTTGGATCGAGGTACAGCATTGTAAAAAATAATTGTATAGATTAATGGAACATGAAACGAGGACCAGCGATAGTTCTGTGCTCTAAGCACAACGGATCTGCCCCATGTGAATGAACTTATAGTTTCGTTCAGATTAGACACGTGTCTAACAACCCCCCCCCCATCCTCCCCCCTCCATTTTCAAGGAATTGTTTACTATCATATAACGTTATTGTAATGTCTAACCTCGCTCACCTCCGCTCTTCAGTTAACAGGCAGGCTACTATCGTCCCCCCTCCCTCCCGCAAATTCATTCCAATATCTAACATGGCGTTTTTTGGTTGACTCATAGTTCTTTCAAAGATTGGCGATTTCTGGCGACTTTCTCATCAAAGCTTTGCGACCAACGTGACTGAAGACTTGGTAGATGGTGCGGCGGCAGATTGGTGGTATGCAGGAATGCAGGTGCGTGCGCCCTTTCCCCGCAAGCCCCTCACCATCAAACCATCAGCAAGCTGTAGCGCGAAAACTACGCATTTTAGCAAACAAAATTGCAAAACCTTTTTTGATGAACTAAAAATTAGAAAAATTTACTTGTAAAAAAATCCCAGATATGCTCAGCCGTTTCAGCGAAAAAGAGGTTTTTTGGGTTTTTCGCTGTTTTCCGGAAAACCAAATTCATACAAGAATATTCGCAAACCTTTATTACACCATTAAGCCAGCGGAAAAATATTTTGTGACTATGTTATCACTTTTGTCTCAGTTTCGGCTATTTAACTGGACTAATGTATTTGGTCAATTGGAATAAATTGATTATTATTATTATAGACAAGACCATTATTTCAGAGTGTTTATCTCGATCACGTGGCGTTTTGGAGGTTATACTAAGTGACATATAAATCCGAACACCCAGTTTAAATGGTTTTATTTTAATAAAATTTTGTATAAGTACTTAATGAAGCATAATAAGTAAATGATGAAAATTTCAAAATGATTGCACTGCTTTAAAGCCCTTTGACCTTTAATAATGTGTGGATGCACCCTGATGTGCTACGCATTCTCCAACGCGCCTAGGCATGCTTCTGATCAGGTGGTCAATGTCCTCCTGTGGTATCTCATTCCAGGCAACCACCAACTCCTCTCGAAGTGCTTCTAGAGTCTGAGGAGGACGTTGCAAATTGAGCAATCTCCTACCCATCATATCCCACATGTGCTCAATTGGGGATAAGTCGGGAGATCTTGGTGGCCATGGTAACAATGTGACATCATTATGTTGAAAGAAGTCTATTGTGACTCTTGCAACATGTGGTCGGGCATTATCTTGTTGGAAAGTTGGATCTGCCAGGGTGTCAAGATAGGGTAAAAGATGGGGTTCTAGAACTCCGTGGATATAACGCTGCGCGTTCATGTTACCTCTGATGAAGATTAAAGGTGACTTGGAACCATAAGCTATAGCACCTCAAACCATAACTCCAACAGTGTGATGAACATGTCTTTCAACAAAAAACTGTGGATTCCTCCTTTCACCACGTCGCCTTCTAACCCTGGCATGACCATCGTGCATGCCTAAACAAAATCGAGACTCGTCACTAAAGACAATACTGTTCCATTCCTGATCCCAGAGTGACCGTTATCTGCACCACTCAAGGCGATTACGTCGGTGTTCTCGAGTTAAAGGGAGGACCCACTGTGGCCGGTATGAAAACAAGCCAAAACTTCTCATTCGTCGGTAAACACTTCGCATGCCAACAGGTCTTCCGTGGTCTGCAAACCATTCATTTGCAATGGACCTGGTAGTGGAGAAACGGTCCCTTAAGGCCAATAATCTTAGGCGGCGATCCTCACGGTCTGTTGTTCTACGGCGGCGTCCAGTGCCCCTTGCTCTTTGCGTACGGCCGTCTCGAAGCCATGCCTGACAATACCTAACCACAGTGTCTACACTTCTTTGCACTCTAACTGCAATTGCCCGAAAAGAAAGTCCAGCTTCCCGAAGTCCCACTATACGGCCCCTATCAAACTCACTAAGTTGACGAAATCGTACAGGTTTCCGTACTCTAGGCATCGTAACCAATCGTAAAGGATGTCAAGAACCAAAATCCAACAACGTTGATCCTTTATTGCGGATGAAATATTCATTTTTAGAGCGTTAGTGAATTAAAAAAAAGCAGTATAAAAACCGGAATGTCCAACTGATAAGGCTGAAAATTTTTTCACTTCACCAACTTTTATTAAAATAAAACCATTTAAACTGGGTGTTCGGATTTATATGTCACTTAGTATATGTTTATGGAAACCTTCATATTATTTTTCTATATACCGTCTACCATAGATATTTCTGTCACTGCCTTGTGAATCTTGGATTACTTTCTGATGACTTGTTCCTTGTAGGTGAGAAGGAGTCGGCGTTGGCGTTGGCCGCGAAGAAGTGCGGCGCAGCAGGAGGTGGTCGCGGCGCCGGCGGTCCCCCCGTTGGCTGTCCCCCTACTACAAGAGCAGTGTCTTTTCCTGAACAGCAGCAGCGCCCGAGCAGTAACAGCAGAAGCAGGGGGACCGCCCCCCGGCCTCCGGCCACGCCCACACGCATGGAGCACCACCCACCGCCAGCCAGCGCGGCCCACCATCATCAACACCACCATCATCACCACCACCACCATAGTCACCACAACGCCACTGCGCACGCGCCGGCTTCCGCAACCGCCACTGCTGCGGCGGAACATACGCAGACACATCCAGCAGGGCAACCACCCTCGTCGGCCAATCGGGAGCCCCGTCCATGTCACAGGCCGAGTGCTTTTCAGAAGGTAAACTTATAGCTAAGGCCAGAATTAATATATGTTAGTAAAACCTCAAGGTTGTAGGGTCATGAAGTTCCCTATACGATATTCATAACTAGAAAATTCTAAAATCTGGCTGATATTTTAGAGCTCAGCTATACGGTTTGACAAACCCCGGACCGGCTGTTCGGTTTGTGATTTGTCAAACCATCTGTTTTTGGTGTCGAAGCGGTCGTCGTAGAACCGACAAACCGGACAAACTGGTTTTGTCAAGATCCGCACGAGTATTACGTATCTTGAGAAGTGATATTATGTCGATTTTTTCGACATTATATTCGTTTTTTGCTACATTAATCAAATCCAAGCGAATAACCAAAATTTCTGTGTTATGTGCCGTGGTTATAATATGGTTCAAAATGACACACGGGTTGATGACGTCAGTTACACGAATCGCTTGAACGCGTTGGTTTTAACCGCGGTTTTGTTGCAAGTTGTTTATTTTAGAAAAGCGCGTATATAATCTCTGATTATTTTTATTATCACTTAATAATCGGTGCTTTTTCGTCTACAACTATACAGGGTGACTTTGAAGTTGAGTCATTAATTTTCAGATAATGATTGTAGAAGGAAGATAAACCAAAATATGTGTGTAAAAATAAAAAACAAATAAAAAAAATTTTTACCTTGTTTTATAAAGTATCCTCCCGACAAGTATTTCAGTGCGGACCTGTATTTGATCGTGAGGTGCCCTGTGAGGTCTTAAGTCACCTGATTCACGAGCCCGTTGTACTACATTAACAAAGGCACGAGGGGTTGGTTGCACTCGATTGGGAAACCGATCCGCATAAACATGTGCCATTTTTTATTTCGTTTGAGCCACGCAACAGACACTATTCACACGCGACTGACACTGACTGTATGTATAACTGAACTGAATGAAATAAAAACATCGTTCCAAATTCTTTCGCTTTTTTGTTTCCGATGCGATGAACCGATACGGCGGATTATATCCGTTGTCGCCAAACACGACCATAATATTATTATTGAGACAGGGCGGTACTCAAACTTCCAAAGGGCTATAACTTTGTTACTTTAATTTTACCAGAAAAATGGTAAAGGAAAAAAACATTTCTTTTGATCAGATCTACTCACTGTTAAAATAAATGACTCAACTTCGAAGTTTAAAACCTTTCATAATATTCATGGAAGAAATGTTTTTTTCAGATTTTTTTTTAATGATGGAACCATGGCTTTGTAGCTATGATAACTTTCAATTCTCTAAATTTTTCCGCATGTCAAAGAAAACATTTATTGATTCAGCAGAAAGAAATGATGAAAAAAGAAATTAGCAAAACCGTATACAGGTGGATATCATCTAGTGAGTTTATATGGCCATATTTTAATATTCTTGTGGTATATGGCTACACAGGATACTTTGTTAAGCATAGGAACTACATTTAAAGTATCCCCAACAACCGTAATGAGTATAACTAATAAGGTGCTCCACTTTATGGTAAAACTGAAGTCAGCCTGTATCATTTTTCTCAAAAATGAAGCTGAAGTACAATAACAATATCCAATACCCGGCAAAATTCCAACTTGTCACATTTCAAATAATAACCAGAAATATAAAACTACTCTTGAGTTGGGTAAATACCACAATTTTGCGGTGATAACTATGACATATAACAGCTGATTCGTGACGTCACGGATCTTATAACCAAACTGATAACTACACTCGCTTGAACGGATTGGTAAATACCAACCCAAAATGGTAAATACCATTTCCATTTGGTTATCCGCTTGAATTTGATTATTATGTAGGTTTTTCTACATGATATTAGTTTAGCAGTAGCTTATGGACACGTTGTGAACCCGTTTTGTAGTTATACGTGTTGCCTAAACGTCATAAGGCTTCAGTTATCAATGTTTGGCTCTGATGTGATGTAAAATCTGCTTCAGAGATGGCATTACTGCTAACAGTAATTACACACAACGCGATCGCGGTGGTGAATTCTTCTCAAAGTTTTTGAGAACACAAAAAACGCAAAAAATCATAATTTATAACTTTGAACTGAATCCGTCTTCAGAAAGGACACATATAAATAATTGATCGGGCACAGCTAATAGATATAATTCATTGACAGCTTATTCAGTAATCATTTTCTCACACAGCAAATATAACTGATTTTATACACATGCAGACCAATACAGACAATCATCTAGATGCGATCTTGCTATTTAACCAACTTTCTTCTCAGAGATGAAAACTATAGACTACTCGGCTTCACAAAAGATATGGAACCAACAATGCGTGTAGTTGAGCTATACCTCCATAGATGAACCCTCACAACAATCCTAGCGAGCTTGACTGTTTGCACCCTAAACACTACCTAGTCTGCAAGATGACATTTTATAGGTTTTTTTTGACGTTTTATAGGTTTTTTACATAATACCTGTGCCGGGCCTTTAGAATGACAGGAGAGATGATCGAGAAGGAACAGTCATCCAGAAGCAATACTCTAGTCCATATGGACTGAATTAAATCAACCTAATCTAATGTTCATGACGCTTCGTCGCGAAAAATTGTGTGAATTATCCTTCTGCGTATTTTATTTTTTCTGTTGACCTCGTGAACCCAGATTTACTATGATAATTTTCAGATTCATTAATACGAATATTCAAAGCCACGGCTCGCGCTGTGACCAAAAATTAGCGACCTTCAATAAACCCAAAGTTACACTCTAACGAAACCTGAATCAAAAGTTGTTTTTAGTTCACCTAAAAATTAATCTGTGTTTCAAGTCTAAAAGCCTAGGTCTTTCCTCCTCAACTGATACACTTCTGTTCTTCTTGCTCTTCTCCTTTTTTCTTCTCTTTCACTTTCTCTTTTTCCTTGACATTGTCTGCTTTCTGGGCAACCAGGACTGACAGATTCGGCTAACGTTCATTAGACAATGACTAAAGGGCAAAAATCTTACGGACCGCCCGAACAAACAAATGACGAATACTAGTACAAAAATATAGAGTAACATGAAAAATGGTATACAAAAGATGTCTTTGGCGACAAAAAGTACGTGTGCATCCGCAAAACCAGGGCAATTCTTCATTTACAGGTAGAATCTGCGTCTGATCGCGTTGAACGAGAAAGTATCTCGGTTTGCCTTTAGTGCATTCATGTCATTCGGTGCAATCATGGATAAAATCTTCGGTACACATCCAATGCAACATCTATTCTTAACGGTGATGTAGAAGTATTCAAGCCTTAACCAAAACCTACCTTTTCAATGCAACATGTGAATGCTACCTTGTGATGTCGGTATCAATAGTTCCCCATATTTGTTTGGTTTAGTGAAACCACGTGTATTCAAAATTCTTCTTCAGTATAAGAAGAATTTTAAATACATGAGGTCTTGTCTACCTAATTCAAGTTCGTACCTCTTCTCGTGTATACAGGGTGTTTCTTAATGATATACGAACTTCGGGTGTGTATCTACATGAAAAAATAATGTTAGTTTGCTTTATAAACTATGGTTCAAAAATGTTTCCTTACAAAAACACGTGGTGTTGAAGTTTTAGGAAAAAAATGGAAATTAATTAATATTTTCAGAACCGCTTCAGATATTTCACTGATACTTAGTAGGTAGTGGAAGTTAAGAAAGCTGCATATTTTTCAATGCAAAAATAATTTTTATCTTTAACAGTGGCGTGCGTATGGGTATTGACTTCGATAATATTTAAGAAAAAAATGGTACACCAATGGTTTTTTGCCTAATAAAAAAAACTATTTTTGAATTCCCCGTTTAATTTAAAACAAATGATCTCTCGTGAATCGTTTTCTTCGATGCGCCATTTTTTGAGTAAAAAAATAAAAACCGTTGTATTGTCTAACTTAAAAAATTATTATTAATTTTATTGGAAAAATTAAACACATTAGGGGCAATGAGCAGCAACAACTGACAACATAAATATAACATTCAAACCAACGAAATGATTACAAAAATGATTGAATATGCCCCCCTTCACTCAATATGCATGCTTCCGCTCTCATTCTCATGGAATTGCCGACTCGTTGAAATATCCCTGGATTGTTTTTTATTATATCTCAAGCTGCAACTAATTTTTCTCTTAATTCCTCTACAGTGTTAATGGGACTTGTGTACACTAGTGTCTTAAGATAGCCCCACAAAAAGAAATCTAAACTGTTGAGGTCTGGGGACCTTGGTGGCCATTCTTGGGGCCCACCGCGGCCAATCCAACGATTTGGATCAAATAATTACGAACCGCTACACTGAAATGCGCTGGTGCACCAACATGCATGTACCACATATTGTTTCTTATTACTAACGGAACATCATCAAGCAGCAAAGCCAACTGTTGTTGAACGAAATTGAGGTAAGTCTGTCGGTCAAGTCGTCCCGGCAAGAAGAATGGGCCAATAAAGTGCTTGCCAATAATTCCTGCCCATACGTTTACCGAAAATTGGTGTGGGAAATGGGTTTCTATTACGGCATAGGGACTTTCTTCTGCCCACAAATGATTATTGTGGAAATTCTGAATGGCATTTCG